GGGCAAGTTCAAAGCAATCAAGAAAGGGCTGAAAAACATCTGAGAGAGGTACGAAGCTTTGTAGTGTTAGAATATCAACCTTTGAAGTATTTAAATAGCATTTATTTTAAAAAGACTCCTTTCTAGTAGGTTTTCTGTGGCTAGGGCGTGGCTGGTATTTATTTGGAAAAATAAACTAATCTGAATGTTAGCACAGTGCAAGTTGTGCTTGCACAAAGCACAACTAAATCACTGAAGCCTTGGACAGTTTTTCGAGACCACACCTGGAGCAGCTTTCATTATTTGTCCTGTAGTTTCCATACAGTAGACTCTTCTTTTTTTTTCTTTTTTCCCTCTGTTCAGGTGGGTACCATTCCCATTGGTGGCCACCAGTTCAGCTGTGTATCTCCATCCATGCAGAAAGATGCATGGAAGTTGCATGGAAGAGCAGAAAGCTTTCAAGGTCAGAATTCAAGTGCATATCGAGTTTCCAATAAAAGAACCAACCGCGCTGAGATTTGTACACAAGGAAGTTGATGCAAAGTGGCTGTTAAAAAGGTAGAAAAGGTCATTATTCCAAGGGCCCTGCTTTTTGTGCACACAGTTATTGTTGTCATTTCTGTACAAAATACACCAACTTTAATATGATCATGCAGGAGCTGCATTGAAATGGATTCTTTAATAGTTCTAAGATTATCTGCTCATTAGGGCCATGTTGTGACCCAAGGGTTGGAGTACCTGCTTTCAGGATAACTAGATATTCCAGTAATGGAATAGAAGTGATAAATTGTAACCAATGTGATTTCTGATTTATTCAAGATAAAGGGAAGGAAGTCTGGAGGGAGCATTTTTTTAGAGTGACTATGCAACAAAACCAGCTTGGTATCCTAAGCTCACTGAACTTCAGTCTGTCAGTGAGATCAAGTGCCATCTACTCTGCAAAAAGTTCCAGTAGCATTTTAAATTGTGCAACATTTCAGTAACATCTTAATATTATCCTATAACATAGTAGCATTGCAATATTCAGCATTTAGTATGCACTTTGCATTGTTACAATAGAAGAACTAGGAGCTCTCCCACTTAACAAGCTGCAACCTCTATCCCAAGCACCTGTATTGCTTAGAAAAAAAATAAAAAAACACTTAACCTCAAGGATTTGAATATTTAGTAAGATGAAAAATCTTACCTCACAAGATCTGCTTGCTGCCAAGTGAAGTATTTAATACTCAGAACAATCAGTAAAAACTTTTTATTGTGTTATGATGTAGTAAATATAATTTAGGAAGTATTCAAATGCATGTAAATTCTCTCTCAAATTATTTTAATTTAGATGAATGTAAACATAAGTCATAAAAAAGTTCAATTCATTTAGTTGTCATCTGGGTTAAAAGACATTCAGCTGAGAAACTTTCCTAGGGAACATTGCTGCTCATGTGAGAAACAAGAGCAAAAGATGTCCTAAGCTTCTGAGACTTCTCCCATCGAGTTTTCACCTGAAGTTGAGCTTTACTCTCTAGCTTCTCTAGGGAGACAGGGCCGAATGATTTCCACTCAAAATTCAGCACTGTCGGTATTCCTGGTGCATGGAAGAGGTTGACCAGCAGATGTCACCAAATCCAAAATCATCACAGTCAAACCTTCAGAAATAAATGAAAAGGTCACTTTGAACTTTTCAAAGCATGACAGACCAGAGGCCATGAATATTCTCACTGCTTACTTGCACTGATGTAAAAATTGTTAAGTTCTCATCTAGACAACAGTGCACACATTTCTGACATGCTCAGACACACACACAAAAAAAGTGCACAGCACCCTCATTGTCACTGAAGACTAGCTTTTCTGGTCAACAGATCACCTTTCAAGATCTATTAATTGACAAACCCTTTTTGAAACCCCTATTTTCAAAACAACATTTTTCCCCTAAAAGAGCAAATTTCCCACAAATATCACTGATATCAGCTGACCTTTTGAATAAGTTCAGCTAGAAAAGAAACTGAAAGAAAACAGGCAGCCCTTACCCCACACTCACACAACACTTCTACCTTTTTTTAAAAAATTGGTACCAATTATTTTGATTTGCATCTTCCCAAAATGCCTTTTTTTTTTTGATATGGCAAATAACGTTTTTACACTTTGCTTAAGCTATTTTAAAGATGAGGAGCTTGCAATAGGTTGTGTAAAAGAGTGAGCGCTGATGAAGGAGAGGCCCATTGGAGACAGACTAGGCCTTCCTTCCCTCCACGGTCAGGAGCTGAGCTCCACCTGATTTTGCATACAACAGGCTACAACAGTTTGTAGGAACAAGCGCGACTGCAGAATGGTTGGGAACCTTCCTGCCTCCCCGCAGGGGTAAGTGACTTAACTACCTACCCTCCTGCTGTGGGTTCTGGAGATCTTGGGGAAAGCAACTAAGCTTCCTCCGAGGGAAGGGGCTGCCGGGTGCTGGGGACTGGAAAGGTCCTTTTTTCTTCTTGCAGAAGTCTGGAGACTGGGCTTCCTTGCTCAAAACATACAACCCTCTTCCTCTGAGATGCTCTCTTATTATGGTCTTACTTGGATTTAGTGTTTGTAGATAAATAAGCCTCAACTCTACATCCAAGGCACATAGAAGTGAACAGAAAATGGGCAATTTCTACACCCATAGTTGTCCAGTAACTGGAACGTCCAATTTCTGGAAGTGTTACCAGCTTGTTAACAAGGTTGACAGTCACAGACAGAAGAATCAAGCACTGCTTGACACAACTACACATAAAAGCACTAACACCCACACTCAGGAACTGCACAAGTTAGATGAACTGGGATTGAAAGTTTATCAGTTTCAGAAATACATATGTATTTATAAAAAAAAGGAAATTAACACAACAATCTACATATTCACAAATTTTGTATTACAAAGGTAAAGAGTGTTATGTTTTGAATGTTGGAATTGGATTACATACATATTTTTACTGTTTAAAAATCTTAAGAGTATATTGCTGCAAAACAAACAAAAAAGCTATTACAATCCTGTATCTGAATAGGACCCCAAAGATAGTATATTTTCATTATGATTGTCCTGACACAATGAAGTCAAGTTATTTTCAGAAAGAGCAGAATTTCCTCTGCAAACAGTAAATATAAATACTGTGTGAGGCCAGAACTTGCTCCACATAATAACTGGCTCATTGGCTGAACCCTAACACAGAAATTCATCTCAGAGAGGTAACGAGCAACAGGGATGCTCATTTAGAATATCAAATTTCCCATTCTGCTGGAGATCAAAGTACTGCGTATGTTTTAACTTACACTCACAAGAACTTTTAAGAGGCAGAGGTCGAGCGACTGGTATCGTGCCTGTGCGTCTCTCTCTCACAGAAGAGATGAGAAAAGGCAAGAAATTCTGTCTCTATGCGCAGCCCAACATTACATCCCCTTGCTAGGGAGAATCCCTATATGTTAGAAAACCTACTTTATTGTTTCCATAACCAAATTAAAATTTTATTCTTTGCTCAGGTTTTTACAGTTGTGGCCATTTAACTGTAACAAGATTCAATGCGATATAAACTTTATATAAACTTTAAAAGATAAGAAATCTGCTGTATGGGTTCAATCTCAGAAACTAGATAACCTCTACTTCTGTTTTAGGAATTATAGCAAAATCATTACAAGTCTTGTAAACATTATTAGAGATAAAATAATTATAACAGTACTTTCGATTTGAGAAAAATTGTTTAAAAGGTCATTAAAATAAATTTTCCTCTTTATGAAAATTCATGACTAGTGTAATTCCAACATAACCATTAAGTTCATTGTTTTAGGAAACCTAGCCCCAAAATATCTGGGAACAAAGCTTGAAAGCACCCTCAATGCATATCATTAATAGTACAGTTTGCTTGGTGCTGATAGTACAGTAAAAACAGTTTTTATTTTGTACACAACTACAAACTGAGTAGCGATTTTAATAATGAAATAATTATTAGAGATGTACAGAACATGGCAAGATGCTTTGCTGTCCTGCAGAGCGTGCTGAGAACCTGATCCAAAAGACTGACCAGGAGGTTTTCTGGGCTACATTCAATAGTGATTGTAATACCACATTTGGTGCTACATACAAGTTCTTAGATTTCTTCTTTTTATGTATTTGATTTTATATCTTTTATGAAGCAGTGTGAAAGAAAACTGCTAGTCAGGGGAGTTTCGTGACTTTCCCCTGCTCCCTCCCATTAACCTCACACACTCCTTTTTCTTATAGCCATTATAATGTTAGTGGCATCTACCCACCTAGTTCTGGGCTAGCAAATGGGGCTCCCATGGAAGGCAAATTGCCATTACTGAGGCCCGTGTGATCCACTGTTCCCTAGGGAGCATGGGAGTCACTGTGGGATGCCATATCCGAGTCAGCTGCACGGTCCCTGATCGCCATCAGGGCGGACACCGGAATCAGAAGTTACATATGGGATGGCTTAAAAAAAAAGCCACATTTCTTGATCATCTTTACCTATAGTAAACCAAGTTATTTGCATAAAAGTCCTTATTATTTACATATCAACAAGTAAAAAACACCAAACCTCTCGGTTAAGCACCAGTGCTGGCTGAAGGAGCAATGCCTTTGAGTCAGAGTATTAGTATTCCCTGTCACAAGTGAATTCTGATATTCTTTTAGAAGTTCCCCTTTTCTGCATAGGTTGTATCCTTAACACTTCTTCATTCACATCCGTCTGAGGAGATTGGTAATAGCAGCAGTTTAATAAAGGTGCAGGCATCACGGACAGCTTTCACAGCATAATCAGTTCAGATCTTTTTAGAAGAAAGAGCCATAAAAATTCACCACTCTGGATTGCAAAGTTCACCAGTTCAATAAACAGTTCGATAAAAGTTCAATAAGCAAAGTCTCATCCAGCCCAAGTGAGAACAAGTGGTTGGAGCAGACTCAGTCTGTGTGTGCAAACAGCAGGTAACCCAGCAGCGCCATCCAAGGGCACCTTCGATTCCGGGACAGCGGGGAGCCCGGTTCTCCCTGGCATCAGGGGGTCACACCAGCCACGTCATCTCGGCTTCGAGTACCCGTAAGGACACCGGAGAATTAGGCACTCGTGACTAGGCAAGACATGAGTGCTGTAGTATTCAACCAAACTCCCCATGTTCAAAAACATGATCTCTGCATCCAGGTAGAACTTGCAATCCTGTTGTAGAGCAAAAACATATGTAATCATTAGCAGTAATTTTTCCTAGTCATGGTGTTAGAAAAAAATTTAAAAAAAAAAAAAAATCAGCCATCATCAGTGGAACGAAGGAGAGCCTTCAAGCCAGCAACTGCTTCACAAGCTGTTCTCTCAGGCAAATGTCAATCTATAGAGGATTCAGGTTTTTAATCTTCCCACCTTTGGGATTTGATTGGATTTTAACTTTTAGTTCTGATTTACGCATACACGCACACAGTCGTCATATCTAGTACAGCTACTGACCTTTTCAAAGATTCTGTAGTTTCGCACTTTTTCTGCGGATTCATCCCACACAACCAAAACCTGCAAAAAGAAAATGCAACATAGTTATTCTATGATAATAGGCATATGCATCAATGCATTGTTAAGGAATTAGTTACAATCAGTTGACCAGCCTAGAAAGTTTTTACTGAAGTTAAAACAGTCATTGCCTCAGATTTCCTTTAAGGAAAGAGCCCATCGAAATTGTTAAGTACTTTACCACACGTGGGATACAATATCTCTAAACCAAGACTGTTAGTTATGGTAGTTTCTGTGTAGGTTCAGCTATTGCAAATTACCTTTCCAGGCTTTGTAGATGAGTTCCTAATACAGTATAATCCATTTTGTGGTTGTCCTCTTGGGCTATGAGCTTTAAATGCCCTAAAAAATACAGCAGTTAAATGTGTTAGCATTTTCTGAATCAGAAGATAGGATGCATATGTTCCTAAAATCCTTAAAACTACCTCTTCATCTGTAATAATAATTAATGGTATATGTTATCCGATAGAATTGGACTGTTCTAGCCTCTGCCATGCAATACTGAACATCTGGTTTTTCTGCCCATTTAGCATCCTAGCAGGACGTTTTCCAGATAGAGCAAAATCACATACTCTGCATTCTCAACCGATACAGGAACACTGAACTCACTCTCCTAAAAAGCAATTTTCATATTAAAGGGTTTAAAATACTAGTCTTTTGTTTTTAAACAAAAGTTACACCTCTCACAAAATTATTTTTCTGCACTACTGCTCAGCAGTGTTTTTATAGGATTTCTAAGCAACCATTGTTAAATTGTATCTACCTTTCAACTTCAAAGGATTCAGAAGTATTAAAAAATACTGAATTCGGCAGCTCAACCTGTAAGAAAACATAAAAAAAAATCACTATATAAGGGAAATTCAAAATCCTAGCAACTTGTTAGGCAAATATGCTACAGGAAGTTATTATGGTGTATAAATATTTATTTTTTGCTTATTTCTTCTAATAAGAATATTATAATCTAGTTTTTTCAAGGCATTCCTTAAACCTGAAAATAATCACACAGCAGTATGTTTTCATAAAGTTTCCTTTTCCGAAAGGAGGCACCCGAGAAGCTCCCCAAAGTATCCGTAATTAAGAAAAATAATTATCTTTGAGGCTGGATCATCTGCTTGATCTTACTTTTTCATACTCTTCATCCGAATCATCAGCAGGTTTGTTTGGCTTGGCAGGTAGTGCTGGTTTTTCAAATGAGAAGCTTCTGAAACTCTGCCCATCTGGTGGCGATCTCCTGGCAGAAACAGAACAAAAACTGAAGGACGTGTCCTCAGGAAACAAAACAAATATACACAAAGCACTGAAGGTAACTGAAGAGCAAAGTTCAGTTTAGGGCTTATCCAGGAATAACAATATTTCAGGTTGAAAGGAACCTCAGGAGGTTGGAACCTCTTATTCAGTCCACCCTCATGTACAAAGCACGTCCCCTTGGATTGGGTAGCTCAGGGCTGTGTCCTGTCAAGTTTTGAGCATCTCCAAGGTGGAAGATTCCCAGCTTCTCCGAGGCAGCTTGTGATACTTAACCAGCCTCGTGGTGAAAAGTTTTTCTTAGTTTTCAGCTGTAATTTCACTGATTGTGCCTTGTCTGTTGATTCTCATCCTATCACTGTGCACCTCTGAGAAGAGTTTCATTTTATTTTCTTCATACCCTCCCAATAAGGAGCTGTAGACAGCAACAAGGTCTTCCAGTAACCTTCCTTAAGGTTGGGCAAACCCGGTTCTCGGTATCTCCTCCCGTGTCATGTGCTGCAGCCTGTCCAAACACTGACGTGACCTCCACTGGGCTCACTTCAGTACATAAATGTCTTCCTTGTACTGACTTTAACAGGGTTTATTATTCATTCTTCAGAACTGCTAAGCAATGTGATGGGTAAAATTATCTTCGTCTGCCTCTGTTGCAACCAGTGTTGCTAGTGCTAAGTCCTTTACTAAAGGAGAACTTAATATGGAATGAAACACACATCTGTGTCCACAGGACTCTAAAATTCTTTTTGCAGTTGACTTAAGTTTTGTCAGGAAGGCTTCTTACTTGCTTACCAAGACTTACTAAGTCTTGGAGAGACACCCTCCCAAACGCACCAACTACTGATTTTTTATTATTATTAGTATGACTCCTTTTTAGAACTATTTCAGAAGCCAAGTTTGTTGTAAAGTTTTCAAAAACCAAATACCAAGCAAAGAGCACACTGCAGTGGGGCAGGGAAGGATGCTGCAGGGAAGAGAGACCGTCACCGCTGCAGATGTGACAAACAGCAGGTCCGTCACACAGGCATGCAAGGGAAAACCTGATGCGGGACGGCCGTCTCATACTTACTGTAGCTGGGGACACAAAGACTTCTCCGGTCTAGGCTTGAATCCTGGCCCAGGGGGCTGGTGGCCCGGCACGGGGGGCTTGGGAAGCACTGGTGGGACGAACAGCCCGGGTTTGCCGTGTTCTTTTGGCACTCTGGTGTCTGCCGGCTTCTCGGGGACCTGGGGCAGCTTGGGTTTGCTGCCTGGGAGCAGAGGAGGCGTTCGAGGCGAAAGGTTTAAGTTCTTCAGCTTCTCGCATCCTTCCGGGGTAGTGAGAACTTGGGGGAGAGGCTCTGAGGGCACCGAGCACAGCTCCTTGTTGCAGACAGGCTTCTTGAAGAGCGGCAGAGGGGGCACGGGAGGCGGCTGGTCGCTCACTCTCCAGTTTGGTTGCTGGCTCTTCAGGTTGGCGTCAGCGCGGCAGTGGATCTGGTGTTCTCTCACATTTAAGAGATCCTCTGCTTTGATATCAGGGAGGCTTCTTTTAGGAGGCGGCGGGGGCAAAGGCCCGGCCGGTTTGCCGAGGAAGGAGAGGGCCCTGGATTCTGCGAAGGCGGCTTTCCTCACGTGCGGAACGGGCGGAGGGGGGTAGGCCGGCGGCAGGACCAGGATATCTGCACAAAGATCACACCCCAGGAAGAAAGGCACGAGGAAGAGAAATGAAATACATCAAGAAACAAGACTTTTACATTTTCATTTTCCACGTGATTTAAGATATTTCATTGGCATTTGTTCCGACAGTACCTACAATGATGGGCAAATACTTAGCTTTCAGCACAATTCTTAATATTGTAGGCAGTAAAATCCTGCAACTTTTATTCAGGCATGGCTTGTCCTGACTTAGCAAAGAATTTTATCTTTGATAAAAATAAAGAGACCACATCAAAAGCATTATCCCTCCTCCCGGCCAGTGATTAGACACAGATTGCTCTGGGACAGGAGGCCTTCCAGAAAACATGCCCTTCAAGCACTCTCTGTGATTTTTTACTTGTATTGCCGAATTCTAAATACCTCGCAAGATGAGATACTTCTGCATTACTTAATTATTTTAACCTCTTACAAAGCTTTAGACATGGCTAAGCCTAGGGATGATTTGGCATTCTACACGAAGATGACCATCCATTAATGGTCATTTGGGGGAGGATTAAAATAAATCACATAAACCTAGGTCAGGAGTATCTGGTTGCAAGTAAGATTCATCCTCTTCCTCCTGGTCATAATCTGCAGATAAAAATAAATGTGTCAGACACTGATAAGTATTTCTGGAACCATGGAAGAATGTCAAGCATTTACTGCCTTTTAATAAATATTTTTCAGTTGAAGTTAAACATTTAGGACTTTGTGGTGACGCTTGGTAGTATCATATCCTGTCTGAGAAAAATCCAGATTAGTTGCAGAGATGCAATTACACTGTGAGAAATAAGTTGGAAAAAAGAAAAGCCCCATTACAGAAGCATTTATGAATTTGCAATATCGAATCCTAAGCAAGCTTAAGTGACTTAGAGAAGATTCCTTTGCCTAGCTCTGGCAACACAGAAGTGCATCACAGCAAACACCTTTAATGGCTTTAATGTTGCCTCTAACTGTATGTCAGAATAAGCCTCTTCAGGCATAACTTCTCATCATTGACTATGTCAGGAGTGGCAAGGACGGTGTGTAGCATTTCCCTATTCAAATTCATCAGAAACCATAAAAAATGAGAAAGTTGTTCTCGTTTTTCTAATTTAAACTCCTAGACCACTTCTGACATAATTCACATGGTCTCGGGTAGTGGTCAGGACGCCTGTGATTCCGAGTGGGATAGTCACATGCAAAGTGCTGCTGAGTCCGTTTTCTTCTTCTACTTTGCAACAATTGAACCGGATTTCCTCAAAAGCTTCACTCCCACCGGTTTTGTCCTAGTCAGGAAAAATAGCCAGGAATTTCCTTTCAGGAAATGAGAGTACTTGGCTCCACACCACCCTACCCCTGGAAATCTGAAAGGGTGGATGGGAAGCTGCCTAAGAAGGGGACTGTGTTGAACCTTAGGGCAACGTTTCTCATCGAATTGAATTTCGCTAACGTGCTCTTGCCTAGGAAGCAGGTTGCTGCAGTGTGCAGCGCACGCCTGCCCGACAGGCTTTGCGACGACTCGCTCCTGACCGAAAACGTCCGCGCTCAGCCAGAGCGGCTCCTTGGGAAGCGGCCGCAGCAAGGGGCCGACGTCAAGGGCTGGCTACAGGAGACACTGCACTAAGCTTCCTCAGGCAGCGACTCCGACCGGGAGCCGCCGGGAGGGCTGCCCTGCCCTATCTCCCAGGCCCAGCTCCCACGGCCCACGGGAGACCTCACAGAGCCGCCAGCACAACCGATCCTCCAAGCGGCTTTCGCTGAAATAAGGGCAGCTGAATCCTCTTGTGATCAAGTCAAATCAAACCCACTATGTATTTCCATGCTGTGACCCATCAACATACTCAATGTTTCACCTTTTTGCTGAATCTCTGAACTTTCCGACATGCAGCCTTAGTAAGTGTTTAAAACAGCTCATGGTGTCAAACGAGGTCTGAACCACTTCAGTTACCTTTTTTTTCCCTAGTGGTTTATGGTACAGAATATTTGTGTCCGATCCTAAATTATAACAATACTACATGCCTTTAACAATATGAATTTACAGTTCTCGGTTGAAAACTGAATTAGACATAGTTAGTAATATTTAAGTGAATTGGAGGTAGGCAGGGAGAAAGGATAAAAAAAATAAAAATAAATCTTGTTTTTCAGTGTCTACAATTGTCACCTTCATTATCCGCTGAGTGCAAATTGAATAAGACATAGTTAGTCATATTTAAGTGAATTGGATGTAGGCAGGGAGAAAGGATAAAAAAATAAAAATAAAGCTTATTTTTCAGTGTCTAAATTGTCACCTTCATTATCCGCTGAGTGGTGAGAATACTTGATATCAATGGGACGTTCTACCGAGCCATAGAAACTGTCTGCATCAGAACCAGAATCACTGCAAGAGAAAAGACAGGGTCCATTTGGCATCACTACCACAAGGGTCTTGGAACAGTAACACTTTCTACGCGCGTGCTGGAAAGCAACATTGGAACAACAGGGGCAATCACTCCTGCTTCTCAATTAGCAACCAAATAATTTGCTATCATTTTAAAGTTTGTGATTGTTTTAAACAGAGTTGACATTTTACATTTTCCTAAGATGATATATTTATGCCATTATATCTTTTAAAATATGTATTAGGAAGGCATTCCATTCTCGGGGCGTATTGAACCCGTTATTGATGGTACATTCTTCGTAGCTGCAAAGAGCCAAAAGCAACACTGTCAGAAGTAAATAAGGATTAAGGGCTCATACCTGAACTCTGTGACGGTTTCTTTCTTCTCATGGTAGTGATCTATTTCCCTCCTCAGGGACAGCATCCAGTTCTTCAAATGAAGAAACAGTATTTGAATTGTTAGACAAACATGCACTGCATTTGTTCTCTGCAAAGCTAGGACAACTAGGAATCCACCCTGAAATAATATACATACTAGCTTTACAGAATTATCAAGAGAATTTATTAGTCAAAAGATTTTTGACCATCTAAAAGTCTTTTAACAATGTATTAAAATATTAAACTTAGAAAAATTAAAAATTCATAAATTGGAAAAGTAGGTGACTGTTCATGCATCTGAGATTTCCCAGTCTGTGAAAGATTTAACACGCAAATATTCATTCCTTGGCTAAAAATAAAACCAGGAGTACGAAAACGCTACGACATCTGCTATGTTACATTTAGCTGTTCCTTAAATCGCACCCTGGCCTCGCACCAAGATAATATTTAGAACTTCAGGTGCGCTTTTCAGAGGAGCCCAAAGAACCAGACACACAAATTTCAGTGGCAGCTGAGCATCTCGTTCATGTGGATTTCAGGCAAGCCCAAGATTCACTTTCTTCTTTTGCACTATAGTTTTTCTTGACACAGAAGGATACCTTTCTTTCATCTTCAGAAGAAGCAGAAAAAAACCACGTCCGGTGCTTCTTGCTAATGTGAACCAACTTGAAAGGAAACACATTGCTTGACGTCGTCTCTTCAGCGGCGCGCATAACCCTAGGAAACACGGCAGCCAATATATAAGAAAACCTCATTTATAAAGCTAATTCTGTCACGCAAGTCCAAGCTGATAGAAAGCGGTAGCAGCCAATTTCTCCTTACTAAGAATAACCATAAAGCCCAAGAAATCACCACCAGAACCTGCACACGGGCTTTGGTAGCACTTCTACCAGCAGAGCAGGAACAGCGTTGGCAGGATAAAGCACTGGTTGAACCATTATCCAGACTTACACACAGATGGCTTAAATTAAGCCTCTTCAATAAATAATTTTAATGAATTATGTTAATTTGCAGGCTTCACATTACAGTAGAAATTATTTAGGCACACTGTTATTCTTATTTCAGAAAGGTTTTGATTTCTCCTCTGTGCCTACATTTTCCAGAATGCCAAAGGAGGGCCAATATTAAAAGTTAACTTACTTTTTTCCACTCTTTTTTTTTTCCTTATTAAATGCTATATTGCATAATTTTCTCATCTGAGAATCCTCTAGGGAGGCAAACAAACAAACATATCTAATGCAGTTTGGGAAACCTATAAAGCACAAGCTAGCATTTATATGGAAAAAATTACTGGGTCTTCTTTTGTACTTTGCCTATTTCCTCATACAATGCAGTATTTCCATGAGTCACTAATATTCAGGGAAGTTGGTTTGTAAACTTAGAAGAAAGATCATTGGAACCATTTGCTTTTTGGTCAGGTACCCAGATCAAGATGCATCTTGGGCAGGGGGGAAGCTGCTCAAGACCCAGCAGCTGCCACAATGTGAACTGCAAAAGTGTTTTCTAATTAGATACCACATCTTCTTAGGAGCCCAATCCTAATTTTAAACTGCCAGTTGCGGTTGGTTGCATCTGTGCAGCCCTACACAAAGCTGGAAAAGGAAGTGCAAGCTGCCTTACTAATTTGAGAATAACCAGGATGTCAGTGTAGGAAATACCCCAGCACTGCGGAGAAGGTAGCCGTGACTCAACAGGCATCCCTGCTTGTTCTGAGTCACTAGTGGACTCGGCACTCTCCCACCTTCCACCCACCCTAACATACAAAGGCCACTGAAGGAAAGGTCCAAAATAAACGTCAGCTGAAGGGTTAGAGAGTCCGTCTCCAACAGCGTTATGCAACCAGCCAGGCTACCAGGCGAGTTTCTTTCATTCCAAACTCTCTGTCAATGCTGGACATGTCTGTGCACAGCACTAAGCATCACCTGGCCCCTCCAGCTAGGGTTTGCACAGCCCTCTGATACAGGCATGTACAAGCAATGAGACAGTCCCCAGCATTTTACAAATCCTAAGGCATTTGTCATACCAACCTGATGGAGAAGCCAGCATCATAGCCAGCTTAGAGCAAAGGCTGTTTATATAAATTCATTCTGAATTTTTATTTAGCTACAATGTTATTTTACTACACACCCACAAAAACGTGCTGTAGTCAGTTAAAAAGCTCTCACATTTTAATAAATCTTTTCCTCAGTCTGAGAAACTGCAGTGCAAGAGACACACACACATATGCAATAAAATTCCATTGGCTGGGACCAGTGATGTGATATTCTCTACATTCAGTATCTGATTAGTTCTTTCTTAGCATTAAATTACAATAGTATTTTTCTGAATTTACTTTGGAATTCTACTAGTAGGACTTGTGTGCATGCCATGCTCAATCAGGTTGTGATAGCACTAATTTGAAAGCCATGTATTTTAGTCCTCACCTAAAAAAAGGTGTAGTTATTTTACATATATGTATATGAATTACACACACACCTATTTATAGCATGTAGGGAAGTGAGTCACAGACTTTGCACCCACATTTACTCGTTCATCGCTCTTGTAGTTAATTTAGTTTTGACTCTGACTTCTATTACCGAATGAGTAACTCCACAAATATTCCTTTTTCTAATGGTCACCAAAATCACTAGAATCAAAGATCACTTGTCTGAAATGATCCACATTTATCTGCCTGTGCAAAGTCTGCATTAAGTCAGGAACAAGAGCAAACCCATTGCAATTTTAGTTGTTTTACTGGATAAGATATAAAAGATGAAGGGCAAGCATTTGTAAAGCACAGAAAACACCATGCATACAATGTAAAGAAATATATCTCTTGGAAGGGGAGGTGAGTGCTTGACACCAACAACGGATGTAGCTCAATTTAACTTGGTTTGAAAACAAAACCGCAGCGCCCCTACTAAGCAAAGGGGGCTTGGGCATTAAACAGACTCTATGGCACTCACCTGTTATAACCATTTAAGGAAAATGCACCCTGTGGAGATGCAGATGTGCTGCTCTTAAAGTAGTAAATACACCCCTCATGAATAATCACAAATCTCAGAGGCCCTGAAAAAGATAAGAAGCAAGCGAAAAAATAAATCCCATGCGAGCACATTTCTAAGTTCTTTAGATAACCTGCCCAAGCGGAGTGGGGTCGGGTCCTGCGCCAGCCCTCGCGGACGGGCACGTCGGGACGTTACCCGCAGGAGAGCGGCCCGCGCTCACGGAGCGGAGCGTTTGCCTTCCTCCTCTGCAGCTCCTCCGGCCCCGCACAAGGGGCATCAGGTCACACAGGTCTGACCTTTACCGCGGCTTTTACCGGAGGAATAGGCTGAACTAAGAGTGCAGGCTGAAACAAGACGTGGTCCCAGGCTAAAAACACACACGCACATTTATGTTCACCCCTAAACCCCTGCACTATTTCCCTCTTTGCCTTCATCTCAGGTACATAAAGCTGGAAATTAAAGTGGTGTGGGTTTCTTTTGCTTGTTTTTGTTTTAAACAGTCAAGTGCCAACGCTCTTTCTTCCTTTGATAAAGGCAATAATAATATTTTCTTAATTGCATTGTTTCATTGTAAACAAGTATAGCAAATGAATAGAATATAAATAAACCCAAAGCCTTAAATTTCTTCCTGGAAATGGATTCTGATTCCAGAAGCAATTACTGTTATTAAATACAGCCTAATTTGGCAAAAATTAAGTTTCCACTTCACAAAGAGCAGTTCCCACTTCACAGAGAACAGTAGGAGATGGGGATTTTTAGCACAACAGATGCATTCTACTTGGGAAAGCAGCTAAGTACTAGTATCTTCCAGAAAAAAAATATTTTTTAAAAATTGATACATCTCTACTCCTAAAAATGTTAGTTTTGTAGGTCATGACAGGAGATTTAACTAAACATAAGAAAGTGAACCACTACACTTGTATTTAAGACTTGACAACAATTAAGGCAAATATGTCAACACATGCGTTTTATACAAACATTCCAGTACAACTTCAGGCCAGTACAGGCAAAGGAAGTGAAAGAGGGGCTTTATTAAAGAGCCTGCTAACACAAAACACATTCATGGCCCGAAAGGCAAGCACTTGAAACAATGACATTTAATGTAGTTAATACCTTTTTCAACTTACACTTCAAGATCTGCAGCTGGGTGCCTCCTTTCTTGTGCAGGTACCCTGCTTTGGTCACTCCTCCAGGCATCGTCAGGAGATTTTGGGCTCCAATTGCCTTCATGGGGACTGGCCAGACCTGCTCCTCCGAGGCCATCGTTCTGCAATTCAGAGTAATTAAAAAACTGTTCAAAAGTTACATTCTGCTTCAAGAAGCGAGTAGAGAGAAGCACAGTTCGTTTCCTTAAACATGTTTTCCAAGCAATTCAGCAGTCAAGTATGTAGCACAGACGGATGTTCATAGATTCCAGGAAGTTTGTGATGTATAAAAAACATGGTGCAGAAAGTCCCTATTTATTTTTATACAGCTCATAAATGATTGACAGTTATCGAAACAATGGACAATGATCAGTAAATGCAACTTAAATATTTATATTAAAAATATGGCCCCGATCTCAGCACTACGAGACTTATAAGGTGACCGATAAGAAAGAAAATCAGTTTCTTCTACAAAGTTGTATGTCACACAATTTAATTTTCTGTATAACAAGAGAATCAATATTTGGATGTAAGCAACTGCAATATCCACTGATAGTTACTGCTCATATTTAGATGTTTTACTGTAAATGAAAGCACATATTACATAATCCTACACCAAATGTCATATGTGACGCAGTCCACAGTGCAATTCAAGTTAACCCCAGGCTGCTGCAGGTTGCCATTGAATATATACAAGGTATTAATGTCACACTTCACTTGTGTAGTGAATTGTGTAGTGTAGGCAATTACATCTTTGTAATTACCACTCTAGTATTCTATGCATTACCAAAACTATTAGTCTTTCATGTAGCTATTTTATCTGTCTGATGCATCTCTAAGAAAGCTAACTTACTTTAGCTGGCAACCAGGGTATTTACAACTTATAGCCCTACCATACAGCAGAGAAAAAAAAATTATATATATGAAATGAATTTGACCCGGTCTGCTATCCTCAGGCCTATGGGTAGAGAGCTCTGCCAGGAACAGGCAGCCTAACAAAGCTGCCCTGCAAACAAAACCATTGAAGCAGTTTCTGCTCAATGATGGTTCAGAGTCTTGCAGAAAGGTCCGGGCGAGGGAAGCAGAGGGCTCATCACCAAGCCGCGCTCTGCAGAGCGACTCCCTTCAGATTCGGGATTAGGGATGCAGAACAAAGTCCCGGATGAAGCTTCTTCTTTTAGGAAGGGACACATCCACATTCCAACATTTGAAATTAATTTATGACTAAGTGATTTTAGTCTGTTTCTAATTACTTACAGGGAAAAAAAATACACTGAAAGTAGAACCTTTTTTATTCAGCCCAAAATATTGATGTTAACCCCCACATTAGTCTCAATGCCACCAAATGGCTTCAAACTCAGTACGGGCCTTCAAATCCCATAGCCCAAGAGGACTCAAGCACCTGCCCCTTAGAAGGGAACTGTAATCCCAGGGCTATTATACTCAAATACACATCAGAAAAGGCAGAGTTAAATGCCCTGGAGCAGTTATCCAAAATAACCAGGAAGCTGAAATTTGTGCCAAGCCAATGAAAAGCACCGGGCAACAGGGGCATCCCTGATAACCCAACCAAACCTCCCTAAGTAAATACTGAGAGCAAATAGGGGATTGCACCATGGTGGCCTTCTCTGTGGGAGCACAGTCGTTGGGGCCCCTGCTGCTTCTCCCAGAAAAGCCAGAACGTCCCGGGGGTGAGCAGGGACACGGAAGCAGAGGAACAGGCAGGTAGGGAATCCAGTCCCACAACATGAGGACTGTGATATAACTAGGGAGGAAGATTGGCCGAGTATCGGGTTCCTGTTCCTCTATTCACAATCATTTCTCCCTTTGACTTCCTACTATAAAACAGTCCTGAAAACGAGACTAAACCTCAGAAATTCCCCCTCCTAGCCAGCTGAATAAAGGGACATGCAGAACGCAGCCAAGTGTGTAATACACAGACAATAACAGCCTGATACTCCAGCCTTGTCAATGGATTCCCAGGTTGCTGTGCCTATTTTTTGGGTCTCGCTGTGTCTCATACCACTCCCAGTATCTGCAGGTTCCTCAAGCACCTTTCCCCAATCAGTTTTTCACTTTTCTAGATGGTGCCACACCAGCCTGGAAGAGCACTAGGTGCCATTCTGCATCATGTTACAGGAGCAAAGCTACCAAAACAGTCTCACTGTGGGATCCTTATTGCAGGGGTTGAAAAAAAAAAAAAAGAAAGAAAAGAAAAAAGAAAAAGAAAAGAAGGAGAAGGGTATGTTCTTATAGACATTTTCAGACAGAAGATCCACTCTATGGTTCCATTTGGCTCCCTGAAGTGGTTCCTCCCACTCCGGATGTTCCTTTTCCCATTCTTGAAATCCATCATGTGAAGAACAGATCAACACTCTCAGGTACACTCCTCAGCAAGTGTCTGGAGCCACCGGAGAGCCTGCTGGCTCTGTGAGCATTGAGAAGGGTATTTCCAGGCTGTGGCTCTTACGTACTAGTCTGACACTACCCCAGGTGAACGGTTAGCAGCCAAGTTCAGAGCAAGGGCCACCAAGTGCCACCAGGGCCAGGCGATGCTCCCCTGCGGATGGGCTGCCTGCTGCGAGCTAGTGACCAAGAAAATAAACGTGTCAAGTCCCAAACCCATCTCAGGGCTGTTACACCAGCCTCCTTCCCCACTGAAATGGGGCAAAGTCTGGACAACGTCAGAGCAGACAGCGAAGGGCCTTTTATCGCTCTGCTTCCCACAGGATCCTGGTGACCGTCTGATGGAGACCACAGGCTTTGGAGGAAAGCAGGAGAAACACCGGCACTTCACAGGCTTTGCCTCAGCATCCTGCAGCGTTTTCAAGGACAGAACAGCACTGAGGCTGCTCTCCAGCAGGGCCAGGTGCCCATGCAAGCGCTGCTCTACCTCCCTCATGCACCAACGGGGCCGCTGCGCTGGAAACCAGCGCGCCTCGCACGGCACAGCTAGTGCACCAGGCCTAGGGAATCTGGCTATCATCTGGCTGTACCTTTCTCAACCACCAGCAAGATACATTTTGGGTGAAAACAGAGCATCTGCATCATGAAACTGAACAGCACGGAGGAAGGCGCACTTACACACCTTCATCTATGAAGGAATTTTCAACTAATCCTCTCAGGCAACACATCTAAAATAGGCAGATTTGAGTATGAGGCATAACTTCATAAGCAAAAAAAAAAAAAAAAAAAAAAAAAAAAAAAAGAGTAAAACTAAATAGTTAGCATTCTGCCACACAAAATCTGGAACACATTATGGAAGAACACTTACCCCTCTTGGCCTTATGAGCTACTGGCATTCAACCAAATTAAAGCAAATTCAGGCTGATTCAACTAAGGATTGCATCCTGAAGGAGCCAGAGCCCTCCGTTCTTGCTGAACCCAAGCAGAATATATGGCAGATATGCCTATACCCCACAAGATGTGGAGCTGATCACAAAAACACCACTCATCTCTGAGGCTACAACTGACAAAAACTGTGTTAAAAGTCTCTCATGTGTCACAACAATACTGATGTTCTACCCTGGAGCCCAGTTTGGTCATGCTAGAAACAAATAAAAAACAGGCTCCAAAACTGCCTTAGAAAAATTAAACGTGATCCGAATTCATCACAAGCATCTTGATGCAAATTGTGCCCCAGGACTTTCTAAACTCCACAATCTCTCTAAATTCTCTGAAAATAAAACCTAGCAAAGGAAAGCGTTTGCTTCTGAATGTGAAGAAAATTTCTGAAAGTAAATAGAGCATTTCACATACAGCCCAGAGGAAGACTCAAGTTTGTCTCCACAAACCACTTACCCCAAAATGCAGTAGCACTGCGTGCCCAGGAGAACTGCAAGAGTTTCTCCGGGCGCTCTCAGCAAGTCTGAGCGAAAACTAGTTCTCTCATTCAATCTACACATCTACCAGCTGTTCCAAAAACTCTTTTCTAATTCTGCAGAAGTTTCAAGTCTGCTCTCCATTTATTCAACACCTTTTGGTATTTCTGGAACGGTGTGTCGTATTCCCCCCGCTTTTGGGGGTCACATATCCCGTTCCTTCACGCTGCTAAGAGCCCCTTGCTCAGCGCCTTTCCGGAAAGATTAACAGCAAAGCACAAACGCTGGCGAGTCCAGTAAAGCCTGCAACAGAAAGGGCTCCGAGAGCTAAGCCTGAGCTGCGCCGTTTAACTTGCTTTTCTTTTCAGGCAAGCTACTCCAGCCAACGCTCTTCTCATCGGTGCCCCTAGGGTAACTCATAGAGCAGATTCAAAGGTGAAGATTACTCCTCGCGGAGGCAACACTCTGCTCGTGGCGTCGGCCCGCTCCCCAGCCCGACGCGCTCACCTGGAGCCCATGCTGGAGCGACACATGCTTTTCCTGGCGCCGGCGGCCCCCGGCGCGCGCTTCCGCTGCGAGAGCAGAGCCATCAGGAGCCGGGCATCGCTCCCCGC